GGCTTGTTAATTGTAAGGGAGTTGCATTCCATCGCGACAACGCAAGACCACACACAAGTTTGATCACCCATCAAAAATTATCGGAGCTTGGATGGGATGTGTTGCCACTCCCACCATACTCGCCTGACCTTGCGCTGTCAGACTTCCACTTGTTTTGCTCTCTTCAAAACTCCCTGCGTGGTATAACGTTCAATTCAGATGAGGCTGTAAATCAGCACCTTGTTCAGTTTTTCGCAAATAAAGACAGATCCTTCTATGAACAAGGAATTATGAAGCTCATTGAAAGATGGCAAAAGGTTATCAAACAAAATGGACAATATATCATTGATTGATCTTTGTTCTTTATATAAATAAGTGACTTTTGAAAAACGTAGACAAAATACATCATGACTTTTCTGACAACCCAATAATTGGCATAATGTATGCATTTTAAAAGCATATATTCTGGAGTCTTTTGTTGGCTCTAGAATCTCTGCCCTGTTTCCAAATGCCTGTGGGCATCTGTATCAGAAAGCTTGGCACCCCCAGGCAAACTCATCATGTTCTTCTTACCCCAACATGTGTGTGTGGATCTGTGTGCATGCATGCACATGCGTGTTTGTGCATATGTGTGTATAGTGGAAATATAATTGAGAGAAAGGAGTAATTTACACCTCACAATCCACACCCAAGCCACCTGTAAATTATCTAGATTCTCCTTGCAAATATATCCCACAATTATCAATTCTTTCCTCTCCATTGCTAATTCCTTACCTGTACATCAGCAAGAGCCCTCTCTCACATCCCTGAGTCCACTCTTGCCCCCTCTGATCTGCTCTACATAGCAGCAGCAAGATCTGCAGGTACATACGTGGCACCAAGCTCTGCCCTGCTGATAACTGCAGTGGCTTCCAGTTCACAGCAGGTTTCATCCATACTTCTTACTATGGCTAGCAAGACCCTAGTACAGCCTGTCTGGGCTTCTTCTAATCTCAGCTCCTGGCATTCTCTCTTTATCCACAAGGCTTTAGCCACACATTTCTCCTTTCAGCTCAGGCTATACACTCTGCCCAGGACACCTTCTTTCTCAGTTGGAATCTCTTATCCTTTGGACCTCACCTCAGTCTGGATTTCACCTTCTCAGGGAGACTTTTTCAGGTCATCCTAAGCTACATAAGTGTCTCCTCCACCCCCGACCCCACCCCCCACCCCGGCACTTATGCTCTATTTCGACAATCTGTTCATTTTCTACATGGCTCTTATCACAATTTGCAATTATATATTGATCCCTTCACTCAACAAACATTTTTGAGGCCCTAATATGTGCCAGGTACTGTTATAGGAGATGAATATATAGCAATGAATAAAAGAGATGAGGTTTCTGCTCTCATGGAACAGGCATTCTAGAAAGAGGGGATTGCCATTAAACAGATAAGTCCATGAACATGGTAACTACTGAATAAAAGGTGATTTTCTGAGAATTCAAATAGGATGCTATAGCAAAGAGGGGCCTGACTACCTGGTCAGGAAAGGCCTCTCTGAAAAAGTGGTATCCTAGTTGAGACCTGAATAATTAGAACACATCAGGGGGAAGGGTAGCCCAGAGAGAGAATGACTAATACCTAGACTGTAGGTTAAAATAAGCTTGGTGTGATAATGTGTTAAAGGAGCAAGGATGATGACAACAAAGAGAGGGAGGGAGAGAGGGAGAGAGGATAGTTTATTTCATTTCCTGCACTAGATCATGAGCTTTGCAATGACAGGGACCACACTCATTTTGTTCACCTGGTACATGATACAAATTCAATAAGCATGGTTAAATGAATGCATGCATGAAGAAACAAAATTGTGAGATAAGGGGTGGAGGGGTGTCAGGTTAGGTTTCACAGAGGTGGAGATACCCATACAAGGTTCAGAAGGATGAGTTGAATCTGTCAGGTTGGCAAGACAGGGAAGAACACTGGATGCTGACAGCACAGCCTGTGCAAAAGGAGGCAGGGAACATACATGTACAGAGCAGTGTCACTGAAGTACTTGACCTGCCCAAGATAAATTATCACCTCTATGACTGGACCAGACTGGTGAATTCACTATTCTCTTTGCCATACCTTGACACAAAGATAAGTAGTAGGATCTCCAAAGAGATGAAGGAGGGGGGAAAAAACACCAAAAAACCCCACTAAATCCAGAAATTCAAGCCCAAATTCATCCTGATTCCTGCAGAAGGTAGAAAGCTGTCAGCTGCAGCCCTTGAGAAAGGTCTAGGATCCCCTTGAAGTCTAACATCACCTCCCCAACATCCAAGACTTCACTTGATTTTTGATGCATGGTTTCATGCTGTCTTTGGGGTAGAAACATTTTATCTAAAGGACACATTAGAGCAAACAGCCTTGTGCATCCTCTGGGAATTACCCAGAGAGGATCTAAGGCAAACCCAAGGACAAAAGTGTCCCCCAGAGCAAACCAGCCAGTGCGTTCACTTCAATGTTTCCATACCAAACCGAGTGATTTAAGGACATGAATGTATATGCCACATGGGGTGTTTCTTAGAAATAAGCACTTAATCGAATACAAATATTATTAGAGTCATATAGATTAAAGATACACGGAGAGAAAAAGACAGTGACAAAGAGGAAAGACAGAAAAGTGGGTTGGGAGAGAGAGAGAAAGACACCTAGTAAGAAAAGGAGTGAGAGAAAGGATGAGAAAGAGACAAACAGCAAACTAGACAAACATCAAACATGAGGAGAGGGTGTGCATGATTCTATTCGTCAAAGAGAAAGAAGGTAGATGTTTTGTTCTTTGTAGGTTAATATGTAAATGACATTCTGATTTATTAGCGGTCTCCAGCAGATGAGGTGATGATTAGCACATTTCCATATTTATAGAAAAGCAACACTAACTTTTCAGATTTATAGAAAATCAGCCCTTCACAAATAGCAAATTGTGCTATTATCGACATATGGTTTTCTATAAACAGAGCTGAGGTAATTATCCCTGGGACAATTTGTTGGTGGGCTCCTTTTGAATATTAACCACATTGGAAGCCTATTTCTGCCTCACATATTTTAAAGAGGAGGGGCTATGAGATACCCTAGGCAATTAATTAGTAATTCAATACCAAAGATGAGAGCCCAAATGAGAAGCTCTACCACGTCCACATGGTGGAAAGACCATGGGTCCAGGGCTCTAATGCCAGCTTCCTGCAGACCTTGGTGAAGTAATTAACCAACCTCCAAGCGTTGTCAAGAAAATTAAATACAAATATACACAAAAGCACCTGGAACCTAGTAGGTACTCAACAAGCATTAGCTCTTTTTCCTTCCTCACGTTTTTAAATGATTCTAAGAAAACACAGTTGAATTAAGTTTTTCAAATTCTTTTTTTACATTGATCCATTTTGTTACATTTTGTTTTGTTGATACATTTTGTTGATTACATTGATACATTTGTTTTGTATCATGACCTGTACACATACACACATGTCTATTTAACAGGAAAAAGTTTCTTGAAGCAATAACTTACCTTCACTGCCTGCAATCTACTACAATATTTTCTATTCTGTCCTTTGTTGTTATTGTTCAAAATGTAGTTTGTGATCCATACATTGATTTAAAGACCTACTACTGGTTTCACCCTGCAGTTTGAAGAGCACTATGCTACAAGAAGGTAGGAACCATATATAGATTGGCTCACCATTGTATCCCTAGTACAAACACATAATAGATATTCAATAGACATGTGAATTATGAAAGAATGAATACATGGATATATGGCTGAACTAATGAATGGCTCTAGCCAAGAATCTAAATGAATGCCCCTTTCAAACTGCATGTCTTGTTTGCATGCTCACTACATCCTAACCCCTGTGTTGAATGTTAAACAGAATAGTATCAGACACAATACTTGCTTTTAAAGATCTTGCAATGTAGATGGGGAAAAAAAAAATTAACATTTGAAAAATTGCTTTTTTAAAGGCTACACAATGTAGAATTTCTATAAATGCATTGAAGAATAGAAGTGGCCAGCCTGGGCTGGGGCAGTCAGGAAAACTTCTTAAACCTGGGAATTTGACCTTGGCTTTGAAATAGGGATAGATCTCTCACCCATCTACTCATCCATGGACGAGGTCGGTGGTTCTCAAACTGTGGCGAGCCTCAGAATCACCTAGAGGGCTTGTCACGACACAGACTGCTGGGCCCATCCCAGAGTTTCTGATTCAGTAAGTTGGCAATGGGAACCGGCGGCTTTGCATTTCTGACAGGTTCGCAGGTGATGCCAGTTGGAGTCCACACTTTGAGAACCACCCTTCTAGCAGTTTGGAGTGAGACCATGAAGAGTGCTGATGTCATGCTAAGAAGTTTAGACTTAATTCTTTGCCGTTCAGGATACTAGGCAAGAACGGGATATCATCAGATTGGTGAAATAGAAAGATCCTCCTGGTGACACTTGTTGAGTGTGGCGTAGAATGGGTGAGCCTTTCCCTGGAGATGATCGGGAACTGAAGCAGTAATAAGTGAAAGATGAGCACCGGGCCTACATTGTAGAAGTGCATGTGGAAGAGAGGGTGGAGGAGAGCTGTTCAGGAGAGAGCACTGAAGGGTTTTAGAGATCTACAGGGGTAAAGGGAAGGGGGAATCTGGGATGACTCGTTTTCTGGCGTCACCAACTGATTGGCATGGCGGTTCCATTAACCAAGAATCTACATTTAAAATAGGTTTTAACATTTTATGTAGCAAACTCCCAGGTTCTTATTAAGGAGGTAACCATTGTGAAATAAAACAACACATACATTTAGGGACCCAGACAAATGTGAGTTAAAATCCTGTTAGTGTAGTGCTTATTAGCAAGTCATTTCACCCCCTGGACCTCAATTCCCTGTGAATGATACTAATGATGCCTTATAGGGCTATCATGAGGACGAAATGAGATTATGCATGGCTCATAGTCAGTGCTCAGAAAACTGCAAACCATGTTCCGGTGTAGGCACTGACTGCTGTGTGCATATGGCGTCTACTTACTGTGCGATATCATTTTTTCTGCGTCAAGCACCAGGATATACTCAAAAATGCCGCCCATTGATCCAGACGTTATGTAATGGGTGCCATAGTCATTGATGAACTTGGCATACATGCCGTAATTGTACTGCTCCGGAAGCTCCATTAATGACTGCAGCATTCCTTCATCCAGCATAATATTGTCACTCCTCATCCGAAAATGAGCCGTCTGCACCTTCGTGAAAATTCTCATGAACTGATATTTCTGTCAACAACAACCATCACCATGGAATGAGGGAAAAGAACAAAGAGAATATACATTTTACCATATGAAAACAATGAAAAAGTTCAGCATTTAGTATCTGGGGGGAAACATATATATTTACATCTAAATATATAAGCATAAATACATATAACAGAGTATTCGTATATTTTTCAAGCACGCATTAGACACCATTGTGTTCCTGGCTTCTTCTCACATGACGTCATCTCTGTCCCCACTGCCCCTCTCCAGGGCAAATCCTCATCCATGCTCACCTGGGTTAGTTATGACAATGGGTTTCACTGTGCTTCTCACCTCTATTCTGCCTCCTGGTCCATTCTCACTTCTACAGCTCTCCCTGCTCTAATGAAAGCATTGCGTTACTGCAACCTCCTACACAAGCACTAGGTATTCATTAAAAATTACGCTTAGGAATGTTTTTCTGGTTTTGTTTTTTTTTTTAAGCTGAGCCATCCTGCTACCTGTTGGCAGCTCAGCGGCAGCTCAGCTCGGGCCGTGAATCAAACCTGTGACCCTGTTGCTCAGAGCTCGCACTCTTGAGCAAGCTCTTAACCAACTGAGCCACTTGGCCAGCCTGGATTGTTTTTGATGACATAGTGAAATGCCAATATTATTTATTTATGTACCTGATTGAACAAATGTCTAAAAGTGCCCATGCTCATGGGATAGGCCCCGGCCTTCATGGAGCTAACATTCTTGTGGTCATCTTGTACTTTAAATAATAAAGAAAAGGAGGATCCTGACATAATAGTAAAAAAAAAACAACAACAAAGAAAGAAAAAGAAAAAAGACATGGATTACAGTAAGGTTGAATTGGTTTCAGAGGCGAGGGTCTTCTACGGGCATTACTTCCAGGTAATATAAATCTTGATCCAAAGTGACAGTGAAATTTTGAATGGGTCACCTGCTTTTAGAAAAGTCCACAGTATTTTCAGATCAATAGCTAATTTGTGGCCAAGCTCCAGGATGTGATTTATTTTTGTTAAGTTAGCTAATTTTTATAACTGTATTTTCATCCTCCAAAATCCTTTTTTGAGCGCCAACTCAATCCACAGTTGCAGTGTCAACATTATTGAGGCTTTTCGGTAAAATCTAATGAATTCAATAGATTGGATTTCTCTGGCTTCTGGTTACCTCTCCATCCTTATCACTCTCTATTTTGCCGTCCTACCCTGTGCTTCAGCCAGCTGAAATACTTTTAATCCGAAATTTGAGAGGCATTCTCTAATCTCCAGCCTTTATGCATACTGTTTCCCAGGCCTAGAACACCCTTCCGTTAACACATCTGCCTCCCTTCCTCTGGAGAACTCGTACGAGTCTCTAGTAGATTTCAGTTTAGGTAGGTGTTCTTTCCTCAAGGAAGCATGGTCTGACCCCTCAGCATAATAGACAGTTAGTAGTGAATGTTTGATGAATAAAGGAAGGACTGTTTCAGCATGCTAGCCCTCTGATGTATTTGGAAAAGTAAGGCTTGCGTTAGAATTCTTCCAAGTCTAGTTTAAAGGGCCTGGCCATTTCTCTTTAAGACATTACCAGTCTAAGTATTTCCCTATATGCTCCAGGTCACCATGAAACAGGATGGAGGGAAGTGAAAAGGGTTCTACTCTCATAGTTCAATGTTATTCCTTTTGTGATGATTCTGTGTGCAAAAGTGTAATAAAAACAAACATGATTACCACTAATCAGACATTTTCAATTACACAAGCAAATGAAGGTTCAATTACTACTGTACTTTTTAAGGTAATTAAAGTATACGTGTTCAGTATAGATTATGGAGCACCGTGTGACACAGGCATTATGGTTTAATACCTTGCTTTTATATTTGCTTAACTCTTTGGCAATCGAAGAGGCGCGTGATTCAGATAAACCCACATCCACTGTTACAGGGCTGCCTGCAGGGCCTACACCAACGGTCACCCCACCTGACACAGACTTGCCATCTTTTAGGTTAGTAAGAAGTTCGTTTGCATCATCATACAACTCTGAGGAGAGACTAGTATCTGCCCGGGCCTGAAAAAAAGACAAATGGAGGTTAGCTTTGTGCACTTTTAGTTATATTCCACTTCATACTTAATATTTAAATCTTTGCTTTGTAAAATAGCTAAAGTTTCAGATTATTATAAATAAGTCTCTTAAAAGGCTAATCCAGGCATCAGATTGATAATCACTAAGATACAGAAAATATAGCAGTGTTTAGCTTGTGTCTTGTAGTACTGCTAAAATATTTAAACACACACACACACACACACACACACACACGTGATTCTGATAAAATGCTGTATTGTTCTGAGCATGGATTTCTTTCCAGTTGCCTTTTCCTTCCTGTAGAGAACGTTGCTTGGCTCTGCAATAGACAGATACAGAGAGCCACATCTGGGTGTGGACCAGGCAGGAAAGAGGCAAAGGAAAGCATGCAGATGATGGTAGTTCTGGGCAAAGGGATGCTTTAGTGCTTGCTGCCCACACATGTCTGGTTATTGCATTCCAGGCACATGCTAGGGTTGCATTTCTCTGTCAACTTGAACTGAGCCATGGTCTTGTGTCTTACTTGAGCTGAGGAGGCAAGCGTTAAGAGCCCATGAGTGGCTCACTGTGCAATCACAAGAACATGTGTTGAGATAGAACTTCCATTAGTTTGGGTACAGAGTGTCTGTGATAAGGGGAGTTTCCTTTCCACCTTAGGATGGGCAAGTAGCATAAATAGGGTACCACTGCTTCAAAGAACTGAGATTTTAGAATCCTTTGTTACCACAGTACAGCTTAGACTGTGTTGCCTGGCACATGGGCCCTAGGCCATTCTCGAGGTTAGGAAAATGGCATTGTCCCCATCTTCCAGCTTGGTTTATTATAGGTCAGATGGCAGTGATGGAAGGGAGACAGGAGGAGCCAACTTCTTAAAAAGAGATTTCATAAGTGTGGCCTGATCCCCTGTCACTATTTTTCTCTTCAGAAATTTAGAGGAGGAGGATGTGACTAGATAATTATTCAGAGTCCTGGGATCCTACCATCTCTCTGTATAGTTAGTGTATAGATATAATGTGTATAATCCATCTCCCTTCTAAATGACATAAAGCTGGGCTTAGTGCTGGGCTTAATCTGTTTCTGCCACCTACTGCAGTACAGCTTTGGACCTGACACTTTATCCCTCTAATTCTCTGGGGTTTTTTAACATCTTAAATGGGACAGTGGTAACATCTATTCCATTATGTTGTTATGAGGGTTAAATTAGGAGAATTTGTGTAGAAGACTTGATACCTATGTAGTAAGCCTCCAGTGAAGTTTGCTGTGTGGATGTCTCATCCGGAAGGTGAGGGTGGAAGAAATGAATGGTCAGGAGCAGGCTCTGGAGCTGACCATGAGCTATGTGCTGCTCGAGTGACCAGGAGACCATGGAATTTTAGAGGTGGAGAGAATCGTAGGGGTCATCAGCAGTTTGCAAGCACTTTGTAACAGCAGAACCCTTTCTTCAAACAAAATCGATGCAGAAAACCAAGATACAAAAGTGATCAGTGGAGAGCTACTCCTGGCAAATCCAGGGCATAGGTCACAGAATCCTGTCCAGCCACCTCCTGTCCTGCACCCCCCTTCACAGCTTAGGAAACTGGGCCCCTGGGAAGGGCAGTGAGCTGCTTAAGGTGTTATATACAGTTGTCCCTTATCACTTGGTATCTGTGGGGGATGGTCCCAGGACACCCCATGGATACCAAAATCCACAACTGCTCAAGTCCCTTACATAATGGCATAGTATTTGCATATAACCTATTCACATTCTCCCATATACTTTAAATCATTTGTAGATTATTTATAATACCTAACACAAAATAAATGGCATGCAAATAGTTCTTATACTGTATTGTTTAGGGAATAATGACAAGGCTAAAAAAGTCTGTACATGTTCCATACAGATGCAACCATCTTAGGCCTGACTACATAGCATACAAATCAGCAACCACATAACATTTATTTTTTGAATACTTTTGTGTTTGGTTGAGTATACAGTTGCAGAATCTACAGATACAGAGAGCTGGCTGCTCTTATAGCCTAACAGATCCACAACTCGGAAATAGGTCTCTGACTAGCAGCCCAGAGAATAAGGCCCCAAATCTATTTTATTGATTTTGGAATGGAGCCAAAATCTTGCAGATGAGTCACATTTACCTTATGCGTCTCTCTGGCCCTGCCCTTACTTCTCAGTGCCCTGCAGCATTGAGCATGCGTGGGACAGCCACCAGCACGCTGTACAGGAAATACCATCTTCAGAAGCAAGGCATCGGTCTCTCCTAGCAGCATACTCCCTCCTGCCCTGACCCTACTGGGACCCGTGATCGCCCCTGTTCAGACTTACTCCAAAGTGGTACGATAGGATGTTGTAGGGTTTCCGGAAGTACTTCTCATCATCTCCATAGTAGAGGCGCTCACAGATGGGATCATAACGTAGTTCCCTCCATTCCCCATTATATACCGTCTCACATTGACCCCCATAATACCTTGCGTCGTACACACTCTGAGCTTCTGTCTGGATCAGGATATTATACCTAAATTGAAAAGGCAGGCAGCTTCTGGGAGAGAGCACTGGAAAAGCAAAGATAGGATAAAATATCCTCTACAAGATGCTGTACCTGGTAGGCTGAGCAGTGGTTTCTCAAACTGTGTTCTGTGGGTAGCCCTAGGGTTCCTTAAAGGGCCTTTAAGGCCACTTTGGGTAACAATGGGAGACTGAGTGAGTTAAGCTGGGCGTTCAGGTTCTCTTTAACCAGAGCAGCCAGACAGCTCTATTCAGCATCTAGATCAGTGCTCTCAGATTGAAGGCACACCTCAATATGTGTTGAATAAGTTAGAGAATATGCGTAATTATCAGGAATCCTAGCACAGGAACCAGACAGTCGGGCCCCATCTCCCATCTCTGCTGCATATGGTTGTGTGGCCGTGGGCAAATCATTTAATCTCTCTGTGCCTCAGTTTAGTCATTTGTAAAAAGCAGTTAATACCACTGCCCTCATAGAATTAGGAGCTAAAACGTAAAGGACTCATAATAGTACTCAGCATAGATTTAAGTACTAAATACAAAATGCTGTTGCTGTCAGTATTATTTCAGGAAAGGGCTCCGCTGCTAAAACATAGGGTTGAAATATGAGGTGTCAGCCATAGTGCTAAGCTGAGGCTCTAATCCTCAGAAAGGCCCTCATCCTCAAGGCACTGTGGAATGTCAGAGGGTACACAGTTCGAAAGTCAGGGAGACTCCTGTTATGTCCAACTCCGTCATTTACTAGCTGTGTGACTTTGGACACATACTAGACACCTCCTGAAGTTCATTTTTCTCATTTGAAGAACAGACATAATAAAACTACCTCCCATGGTTTTAGTGAAGTCTCAATCAGAGTAGTAAAGGAAAACTGAAATAAAGTTAATAGGACTTATTAGGCACTTAACAATTATACTTCCTTAACCCTAGCCCAGGGGTCGGCAAGCTGCAGCTCTTTGGGTGCGTACATGTGGCTCTGAAGTAAAATTGAAAATGAAAATAAAACTATCACAGTTTCACTTATAAAAATTTTAAAGGATTTTTAAATTTTCCTTATTTGTAATAATATATTTATGGCTCTCGAATAATTTTTAAATTGTTGTGAGGGACAGGATTAGCTCTTCCATCTCAAAAGTTTGCAGACCCCTGCCCTAACCCAATACCCTTCAAGAAATATTTTCATATACTTCCCTCTCTGGAGTATTGCAAATCTATCTGCCCAAGTTCTGGATTTTAGGCTATGAATGGCTTAACCATATTTAGGTAAAAAATAATGTGAAACAGGTGAAATACAGCTTTAATTTTCTAAAAAGAGAAAGTTAACTAAACAAAAACATTTAGAGTTGGCTAAAAGTTTCCAAGAACTGACAATCAAAGCCTCTTTTGTTATAAATAATAAAATGATTGTGTGTCTATGCCTCTCAAACTCCGATTCAGCCTTTAAGACCATCTCAAATGTTGTCTCTTCTGTATGGCCTTCTTTGATTATCCTGGACAGACAGTTGTCCGTCCTCTATGGTCCCATGGCATTTAGTGATTACCTTGTCATGTTTCTTTATGGCCTCTGTGGAAAGGTGCAAAGGCAGTAAGATGCGCAGGGTAAAAAGTGAATAAAACCTGCTTCAAAGGAATAAATGGACAATTATAGAGCACCTAGCACATAGTACAAATTAAATGCAAGTTAACTTCCTTCTTCTCTTCCTTTCTCCATCTCTTTCTTCATATTAGTGGAAGTGATGTAATATTAGCTGTGATGAATTGAATGCACACTCTACCAGACATTTAGCATATATTAGCTTTCAACCTCATGACAATTTTACAAATGCAGAAAATGAAGCATAGGAAAATTAAGTAACTTGCCTATAATCATAGCTGGATTCTTTTGCTAGATGTTTTTGACACAAATCTGGATTCTTTCCTTTTACAACACCCTGCAGCTTCTATTTTCACCCAATTGAATGTGTTTCTTCCTGTAGCTTATAAATACAAGTTCTCTAACAAGTCAAACAAAAACTGGAAGGAATGATAGCCCTAAGATTGTACTATAGCCTCTAAGCATAAGTAAAGCCTACACATATTTGGAATATCTAGTTGCAAAAGCCCCAGTAAAAAGGCAAAGACATAGTTGAGAAATTCCACTTTTTGGAAATCTATGCAGAAATATTCGCACACATACAAAAATATGTGTATAAGGATGTTCATTGTAGTATTTATTTATAAGAGAAAAAATGGGGAACAATCTATTTTTCAAAAGGAAGTAGTTATCATATACTTATTATAATAATAAATTATCATATAGTTATACTATAGGAGAAGAGTCGGCAAACTTTTTCTTTTTTTTTTTTTCACAAAGGGCCATATGGTAAATATTTTAGGCTGTAAGTCTTTGTTGCAACTACTCAGCCCTACCATTACAGGGCAAAAGCTGTGTTCCAATTAGACTTTTCTTTTACAAAAATAGACAGCAGGCTAAATTTGGCCTTCAGGCCATAGTTTGCTGACCTCTGTTATAGAACACTATGTTGCTTAGAAGGAAACAATAGAAAATATGGGAGGAAGTCTTCAAAACATATTATGAAGTGGAAAAAGCAAGTAACAAACTCTGTGTGGTAGGATCACCTTTCTGTGAACTGAGAATCTAATCCTCGAAAAGGCCTATATATATCTGCAATGCACAACACATATTATAGGCATATTTTCCAAGCAAGGTATATTGTCAATACATTTTTACATGATCTGGAAGTACCTATACCAAGCTGTTAATGGGTCACCTCTAGGGAGGGCAATGAGAGAGGGTGATTGGTTGGGATGCCAGTTGGAGAAGGTGAAGGAAGACTTTCAGTTTATACCTCAAACACATATGACTTCTGTAACAATAAATACAAATTAAAAACTATAATAGGAAATGCTTAAATTTAAAAAACAAGATATCAGGAAAGACCTCTAAGATCTTGAGATGAATAGAGGAGCTATCAAAATGTCAGCTGTTGGGAGTGGAGGAACAGCCATTCTATTGGTTTCAGTGTCCAGTGTGAGCAAACAAAGTATACAGTAAAACCTTGGATTGAAAGTAACGTGGTTTGCAAGTGTTCCACAAGATGAGCAAACATTTCTAATACATTTTAACATGTTAAACCAGCAATGTCTTACAATATGAGTAACGTGTTTCTGGAACTAATTATGCTTGCAAACCAAGGTATTACTGTACAGTAAGTTCCCAACTTATGAATGAGTTCTGTTCCAGGAGAACGTTCGTAATTGGACTCGTTTGTAAGTTTGTAATGCGAGGTCCGTTCGTATCTGTGAAAGTTCACAACTCGAATGTTCATAAGTCAGGGACTTACTGTATTTGAAATGCTCCTGATTGAATCACATGAGAGCAGGTTATGGTCTGTGATCTTTGACAGTCATATGTTGAAATCCTGACCTCCAAAACCTCAGAATTTGACTGTATTTTGGTGATAGGGTCTTTATGGAAATAATTAAGTTAAAATGAGGTCATTAGGGATGGCCCTAAGCCAATCTGAGTGGTGTTCTTATAAAAAAAGACAAGTTGGACCCAGACACATTCGGTGGGAAGATCAGGTGAAGGCACAGAGAGAAGATGGCCATCTACAAGCCAAGGAGAGAGGCCAACATAGCTGATACCTGATCTCAGATTTTTAGCCTCCAGAACTATGAGAAAATAAATTTGTTGCTTAAGCCACCCAGTTTGTGATACTTTGTCATGGCATTCCAAGAAAGCTAATACTCTTGGTGTGACAGAAAACAGAATTTGATCATCTTTTCCTAAGTGTGTGCCTACATGAACTTACAAGATTCTATCCTATCTGGTAGGTAGACTGTGATTAAGTCCTGATGAATGACAGCTGCATTTCACCTGACCCTGAGTGGGCTGCAACATGGCCAGGTCACTTTGTGATGATTACTACATCTCCCCGTTTCCTCATCTGTAAAGATCCAGTTGATTATATTGATTTGTCCCAATTCAACCAGTACTCAGTGAGGGGCTATTATAGGAAAAGCTCTGACATCAGGGCTCAGCTGATGAAAAAGAATGAGTCAGGAGCAGTCTCTGCCTTCAAAGAGTTTATAGTCAAGTTAATAGACAAGACTCAAGGCAAAGACAAAGTACCAGAGAATGAACAATATTGATGTCACTATTCTTGGCCCTGTGCTGGGTGCTGGAGAAGAAGAGATGATGAGGAGTTCTTACCTGGGACAGAAGGGCATTGCAACAGGTGTCCTAGCCCTGTTGGATAAGTGCTGGAAGGGTAGGACACACAAAGGACTCTGGGAACAACTGGTATGTAATGTCAAGAAGAGCGGAGGGTGTGTCAAGAAGAATACATGGAGGAGGTGACGCCTAAGTGTTCTAGTCAGCTCGGGCTGTCATAACAATACACCACAGAATGGAAGAATCAAAGAGTAGATATTTATTTTCTCACAGTTCTGGAGGTTAGATGTCCAAGATCAAGGTGCTATCTGGGTTGGTTTCTGGTAGACAATTTCTACGGGTTGCAGACGGCTGTGTCCTCACACGGCCTCTTCCCTGCATGTGATGTGAGAGATCTCTGGGATCTCTTCCTCTTTTTACAAGGACTGGAGTCTTAGATCAGGGTCCCACCCTATGACCTCATTTAGCTTTAATTACTTCCCTAAAGGCCGCATCTCCAAATACAATCCCACTGAGTTAGTGCTTCAACATATGAGTTTGAGGGAAATGAAATTCAGTTCCTAACATTAGGTAAGTAGTTAAGTTAGGAACATGGGGAAGGACATTTCAGAAAGAAGAAATTAAGTCTCAGAACAAAGGAGTGTGATACATTCAAGGAACTGAACCTGACCATAGCATGTATGATGAAGAAAGTTAGAATCAAGGCTGATTGAATCACAACAGATAAAGAAACCGTGGCCTGGGAGGTGTGAGTAAGCACTGGTGAAGTGGAGAGACAAGCCTCTCTCCATGTTACCCCAAGTCCATTTTCTTTGCACTTTATTACACTGTTAGCCCTGGTTACACCAGCAAGTAGAGTCCAAGGCAGAATGTGAACAGGGTTATTGGGAAGTGCACTTGGGTCAGAGAAATGCTATCTTCTTGGGGAATCAGGGAAGTCTCCATAGAAGATGTGGCTTTTTTTTTTAAAGATTATTATTGGGGAATTGGGGGGATGGGAACAGTGCTGGGCAATTGGGGGAAGGGGAACAGACAAGTTGCTGTCATTTTGTTCTTCAGTCTAGTTGTGGAGGACGTTGCTTCACTGGCCCAAGTTGGCACCATCATTGCACTCTTCCCAGGCGAGGCACATCAGTCGCCGGCTTCTGGACGGCTGCTCACTGTGGCTGCTGGCCGTTCACGCTGGCTGCTGGCTACACACAGTAGTCCATGGTAGCCCATGGCAGCCCACTGCCACAGGGGCTGCAGCCTACGCCATCGCCGGCAACTCAGGGCAGCCCAGCTCCAGGTTGAGCTGTGGTTCAGCATCTTAGCTGTGGAGGGCAGTGTCACTGGCCCTCATGTGTGGGATCCGAACCAGGGACCTCTGGCGTCCCAAGCCAGTTCTTAACCATCGTGCCACTCGGCCGGCCCAAAGATGTGGCTTTTTAAATGGGCCTTGGAAATGGAATTGAGGTGAAAGGAGTGATCAGGAGAATGGAGAGGAGGACTCTTAGAGACACAGAGGAGAAAACGTGAGTTATGTCATGTAGCCAGAACTGGACAAGCCCCCTGCTATGGACTGAATGTTTGTATCCCTGCCAAGTTTCATATGTTCAAATCCTAACCCCTAATGTGATAATATTAAGAGGTAGGGATCTTCAGGAGGTGCTTAGCTCATGAAGGTGGAACTCTCATGAATGGTATTGGTGCTCTCATAAAGGAGACCCCACAGAGCTCCCTGGTGCCTTTTCCTATGTGAGGATACAAGGAGACCTGAAAGATAACCCTCACCTGACTATTGTGACACTCTGATCTCAGACTTCCTTCATTCAGAACAGTGAGAAATACATTTCTGTTGTTTATAAGCCACCCAGTGTGCAGTATTTTCTTATAACAGCCTGATGTAAGACACCACCTTAGAGGGACAGTGACAGCTGCCTCATAGGAAGCACTCCAGAGGAACCCTCTGAAAAGACCCACTTCTGTCCCCAAAACTAATATTCATGATTGAAGAGAAATCAATTCCTGCCCACAAATGGCCAGAGGCAGTGACTCACCCAGCAGCTGCCCTCTCTGATCCTGGAATTGGGTCATACTGGCTGCAGTCATCTTCAATGGCCCTGACATCTTCACAGGCATCCTCATCAGAGCCATCAAGACAGTCCATGTCTCCATTACACACGAGGTGGCGTTTCAGGCAGCGACCTGAGAGAGGAGAGGCTGTGGCTGCTGCTAGAGCCTCCCAGACTCCTCCCTGTCCCTTATGACCCACATCCATAGTCACCAAGTCTGTTCCACCTATGAAATAGCCCCTTGGTCCTTTCCATCCTGTTTCATCCTCTTTTCATCCTCACTGCCTCTGTCCTCCTTCTAGCCTTGCTGTTTCCCATCTATGGCCCCCGAACTCCAGCTCTGCCCCAGGTTCCCCTCTAAGACCTAGCCTCTGCATTGCAGCCCCAGTGATCTTTCTAAAATGCCAGTCTGGTCCTGTCATCCCCTTGCTGTGTAACCTCCAGTGGCTCCCCATTCCTCTTCTTCCAAATGCTACAGTCTGACCCCAGTTACATACCTGGCCCGTCCCCTTCTTCTCTTCCCAAAGTTCAAACCTGCAATTATTACGGGCTGATTGCAAGTCTCTAAATCCCCATGCTTTTACACATTCTTTTTCCTAGACACTTATTTCTTTCTTTTCTAAATCTCAACTCATGTATGATTTTGAAGCCTGCTGTGACTCCCCAAAGCAGATTTAGGCACCCCTTGCTAGCGAGTCCCATTGGACTATGGACTAATGCCTATTACACTGGCTGTCCCACAATATCGTCATCGACTCCTTGTAGGTCTCTTTCCCAAAGAGACTAGGAGTGCCTTGAGGTCAGGCACATTGTTTTTTCATCTCTATAGCACCAGCAGGTAGCATACTTGCCTGGCACATAATATGTGCCCCACCAATATTTATTCAAAGAAAGGATGAATGCATGAATTTTATCTTTTCTAAATGAATCAACAGAGTTACTTGGGCTGTTGGCTTGGCTTACAGTGCAGATTCCTGGGCCCCATCCCAAACCTACAGAATGACAACTGCTAGGGGAAAAGCTCAGGAGTGTGTTTTCTAACAAGCTCCCCAGGGAAGCGTTTTGCATGTTGAATTTGACAAGCACAGCTGTTATCCCGCTGGAATGCTACTCACCTGTCTCCTTACACTGGAAATCCTGTCCACACTGTGCTTGTGGTAGACAAGCTGAGGGACTCTGACAGCTGACTTCATCCCACATATCACCACTGCAGATGGTTCCCCCAAACTTGTTTGGCTGCAGGAGGCTCCGGTGTCGGTACTAAATCAGATTTTGAACCAGACACATTCATTGTGTATCAATCAACCAAGATTTTTGTGCAGGCAGGTCTCAGCTCAACATAAGGAATAAGTGTCTCATGATTGAGAGCTGCCTAAAAGGCTGTCTTTTGAAGGGATGAGTGTTCATAAAAAGTGATGTTGAAGCAGAGGCGGCACAGCCACCAGCTGGAATATTGAATAATATTGAATAAGGGCCTCCAAACATAAAGGAAAGGCTTGAACAAGGTTTTTTTAAGGTCTTCCTGCTTGCTATCCATAGAAAGAACCCTCTGTCCCCCTTCCACAACCAGTTAGTTCTTGTTCATCCTCCAAGATTTGTGGTTTACCTCCTCTGAAAGCCTTTCTAATTAAGCAACGTATTCTATAGTTCCCTGCACATCCCTCTCTTCCTAGAACTTGTCATCTAAGGTTGTAATGAATTGTCTGCTCATTTGTTTACCTTTCTCATTCATTTAGGAACAATTTGTATATGGGGTTAGGGGTGGTGAAGAAAGGACCATGTCTTGTTTGGGTTCCTACACTTGACACTTGATCTATAGTCAGGTACACAGGAGGCACTTTTAGAAAATGTTGGTTGCTTTTCCTTTGTAGCATTTCTTCTGGGCTAGCATCCTCTCTTTCCTTGGGACATATTTCATGTGGCTCAATGGGGATGAGCTCACCCCGCTCAGTCACAGGGATGGGTGGATGTGAACCATGCTGGGCAACCAGAGTACCAGGCCTGCAAAGTCGCAGAGATTGGTTCAGGGATTGGTTCATGGCTCATCCTTAGGGCAGAGTTCTCTCTGAGGGTTTTCTTTCAGGACTGTTGGGAAAGAGATTCTTTGTACCGAAGTTGCTGGGAACTGTGGGCATGAAGTAGTCATCTCGCCTAATATGTAGAAAGAGCCCATCCAAGAGAGAGAGAGAGAGAGACAAAGGGAGCTCTGAAGACATCATCTGAGGCCCGGGGTCTAGCTTTGCCTGCAGATAAATCAACACTTGTTGAAGAAAGAACAGAAAGAATAAAAATGCATACCATCCATGGAGCTCTGTGGTTTCATGATACTGTAGAAAGAGGAAGCCAAATACTAGGATATCCAAGGATATTTAATTCTCATCCCTGCCTTCAAGAATCTTAGAGTCCACTTGAAGAAATAAAAGGTATAACAATATAAAACATGCTATATGGAGAGCTTATTGGACAAAATGCCCAATAAGGCAATGTGTAGTCCCATATTTTCTGCTTCTTCTGACCTTGGATCAGCCTTCTGGCTCCTTCTTCAAGAATGTTAGAAAGTAGAAGACAATGATTTGCGTGGCAGAGATATGAGTTCCTGGCCTGAACCTATTTCTTACACGCTGTGTAAAGTATCAGTGCTTGGTACTCAGTGCCTCAGTTTCCAAATCTATAAAATGTGATGGCTGACCTCACTAAATACAGTTATTAAATATTGTTTCACTTGTGTCCTACATTTGAAAAGAGCATGGGCATGAGAATTAGACTGATGTGGGCTCAGATCCCAGGTTCGCTTACCCACTGTCCATGAGCAAGTTACCTTTCCTCAGCTTCTGTTGTCTAATATGTAAAATGGATGTAAAAGGTTTTATGAAAACTAAGTAAGACAATGGATGAGGAAGCACCTGGCCCTGGGCCTGGCATATCATTGGTGCTCAGTAAACAGAAGTGGTTTCCACATCATTATTAACGATGTCTCTTCCAGGTGATTCAGTAGGTGAGTGGAGCAGTACAGCTGCCCCCACTCTCGCCTGCTGAACTATTCATTAGCTTAGAGGCAGAGGTAGGAAAAAGAGGTCAAATGTGCCTCTTTTTGTCAATCTGCCTTCCCGGCCCTTCAGTTAATAACAACAGTAAGAGATTAGTAAACTCTTGGGGAAGAGGTTATAATTAATGATCAATTTGGGAATATAAGGATATTTTAATTTTCTACCCACATCTTACCCCAAAATATACTACATAAAGGAGTGCTCAGCATATCAAAACAGAGCCAATTCTCTTTCTTACTCCTTTACAAAGTTCATCAGCGTTTGGAGACCTGCATTTACCAACTTGATGATAATGGTGAGGGTAGCTATCATTTACTGAGTGCTTACTATCATCCAAACACTTCACATTCTTTCTCTCTTTTAATCCTTAGGAGTTTGGGAGTTTATGTACTATTATGAATCCCATTTTAAACTGGGTTGGAATTCCAGTTCTTCCACTTACAGTATACGTGTCACTGGGTAAATTACTTAACAGCTCTGACCCTCAGTTTTCTTATTTATAAAATGAGAGCTATCTGAGAGTGTTGTGAAGATTCGTGTTAATGCGTGTGAAGAAATTAGCACTTTGCCTGGTTGTTGGCATGTACTCAATAATCACAATTACCGATATCATCATCATTCTTGTAGCCAGCTGTTGGGCTACTCCAGAAGGATTTATGACTGAGTAGGAATTGGATTAGGTGACCTCTAATACCATTATTACTCTCCATATAGTTCAGGGAGAGGCCGTAGAGTGAAGTGGTCAGGCACACGGGCATTTTGGAATCACCCTGACCAAGTCTGAAATCTAGGCTCTGCCACTTCCTTACTGGGTGACCCTAGCCAAGGGGATGATGATATGTATGACTTATAGTTGGCTGTAAAAGTCAAAGAAGACAGTTTATTTAAAGCATTAGCACAGTGCCTGGTACATAGAAATCATTTAATAAATGGTAACTGTCAATACCATTATCACCTTTCCTGTGGTTCCTATACTTGGAATGATGGTGCAAATGTGAGGTTTGTTCCCACCGGTTCCCTATTTTCTAGGGTGTGATCAAATAATGAAGACATTGTGTTGCAGAGAGGTTAGTGCAGACATTCCCTCAGGGACTTCTCCGTGCTATCACCTGTGGTTGGTATCATTAAGATGTAATTTTCTGTTTTAGCTAGTAGATAATGTTTCTTTCCAGAAATGCACATCTTTGTTTGTGTGACTTTGAGAGGAAGAAACATATTAATAAAAAGAAACTAGCATGTCTTTCACTTAAATGACAGGATTTAATTATTTTAAGTATTACTTTAAAGACATGTATATCTTTTTGAGTCATTAAGGAAGTTATTCAATTCTGTTTTAAACTGTGAGTCACTCACCTGTAGTTTCTGCTAACTAAACTGTAACATGTACAATGAATGTAGTTGTGGATATAAATAGACTGAATACTGGTGATGCAAAGAAATCAAGTCCTAAGCCTTGAAAGTTGTAAATGTTACCTTATTTGGGAAAAGGGTCTTTGCAGACATTATTAAGGCTTTTGAGGTGAGATTACTCTGGATTAGCAGGGTAGGCCATCAATGTCATTACAGTGTCCTTATAAGAGGAAGCCAGAGATGTCACACTGACACAAAGGAGGCACACAAAGGAGGAAGAGGCAGTGTGGGCACAGAGGCAGAGACTGGAGTGATGCCTGCACACCACGAGGACTGTCAACAACCACCATGACAATCCTCCGGGGGCTGGAGGAGGCAAAAACAGACTCTTCTCTAGAGCCTCCAGAACAGCGGTTCTCAACCTGTGGGTCGCAACCCCTTTGGGAGTCGAACGACCCTTTCACAGGGGTCGCCTAAGACCATCGGAAAACAAAGATATTTACATTATGATTCATAACAGTAGCAAAATTACAGTTATAGAGTAGCAATGAATGGTTGGGGGTCACCACAACATGAGGAACTGTATTAAGGGGTCTCGGCATTAGGAAGGTTGAGAACCGCTGCTAGGGAGAGTGGCCCTGCCAATGCCTTAATTTCAGACATCTGGCCTCCAGAATTGTGAAAGAATACATTTCTGTTGTTTTAAGCCACCCAGCTTGTGACAATTTGTTATAGCAGACTCAGAAAGCTACTATAGGATGTCAACGCAAAATGAGCATGTGAGGGCCAGAAACTTTGGAACAGGTTTTAGGGCTCTTTGGCGTATCTCAGAGACGGGAGAGGCAGAAGAATGATTTTCAGGCTTTGAAGTTGAATAAACTAGAAACAACTTGTGTTTCCACCACTCTGTGGTTTTGAACAGCTCATCGAACAGTCCCAGGGCACTTTCACATCTAACTGAAGAGTGGGTCTGGAGTTAGGAGGACCATCAGCCGACCCTGCAAAAGCTCAGGTGAGAGAAGAGCCAGGCTTGATTCACGGCATCGGGAGTGAGGTTGGAGAGGAGGGCACAGGTAGCAATCATCAAAACAGCTAACATCTGCCAGATGTCATGAAAAAACGCTTTGCACGCATTACCCATTTAACACTTACAATAACTCTATGAGGTAAGCACTGTAACTATTCCCATTTATAGATAAGGAATCAAACACACAGAGAGGATAAAAAAAACTATGCCCAAAGTAACCCAGCAAATAGGATGCAAAGCCAGAATCTAAGCCACAGAATCAGAGCTTAAATATTTAAACTTGACAGTAATGTGCCAATAGGCAAAGTTCAGGCAGTGCTGTACAACTGCAGGGGCTGGGAGCCTGGATACACCCCACCCTGGCTGCATCCAGTAAAGTCGTGTGGTGAGCTGTCTGTACAGAGTTTAAAACACTAATAAAACAGAATAGAAGGTAGTTTGCTTTTTATTATCACCATGAGCCAGTGATTCTGAACAAAGTCAGAAATTTAACATTCCTGTCTGCCAGAATGGGACTGAGGAATGCTCCCAACCGCCCTCTTCCCTTGGTGTACCACTCTGCTCAGCCACCATTCTGGATCACCCAAAACCACTTAGATGGGCAAGACAGACAAACATCCATTTGTTCATTAGGTGTGTCAGCCTTTTTAATTCATGGAAATTGAACCCTCAGGAGCACCCTCTATGGCATGCTCTGGTTTATCTCAGCTCACCATAGGTCACAGCCAGCTAGGCATTTTGTTACCAAGCCATTAGCCCCTCCAGATGACCTCCATTAGAAGGCAAGAGATGGCCAGGACCCAGAGAAGCCAGCAGGGATCAGTATGCCCTGTCCAAATAGCAACTTTTCTGCATATAAACCATAACATACACCTCTTTTGCAGCCTCACCCAATAATGCCCTACAACAAAATCAGGAGAGGCAGAAAAAGCTCCTCCAGCCATGTGTCCATGGCTTCCGAGTACCTATTTCTAGAACCAATTTCTCCCCAGACCTCCAGATTTATAGATCTGGCTGCTTATCCCCATGTGAATGCCTAGTACACAATTCAAACATGAAATGCCCCCAAACTAGTCATAAGTGTCTTACCTTTTTGTCCTGGCATGGAAAGCAATCTGTCCACTCAGACCAGTTGCTCAGCTGACAGGTAACCGCTGTGGGGGTGAAACTCTCAGCAGCCCGACTTACTCTCCTAAAGAGAAGACAGACTTCTGTTTCTGTTCAAAAAAGTTTTATTCTGATCATTTTTATTTTTGCTATTAAAAATTCAAAAAGGTCCTTTAATATGAAGGTATCTTCATATGAAAACAGATGCCAAATTTTTCCCAGCTTTATTGAGGTATGATTGACAAAATAATACATATACATCTAAGGTATACAATGTACTGGTTTGATACACATTGTGAAATGATTACCATAATCAAGCTAATTAACATACCCATTACTTTACATAGTTACCCTTTTTGGAGGGGATGAGAACACTTACAAGCAACTCTTTTAGTAAATTTCAAGTATATGGTACAGTGTTATTAACCATTGTCACCTCACTGTGCATTATATCCCCAGAACTTATTTCATATAATCCAAAGTTTGTACTCTTTGACCAGCCTCTCCCCATGTTCTCCACTTCTCAGCTCCTTGTAACCACCTACTCTCTGGTTCTCTGAGTTCAACTTTTTTAGATTCCACATATAAGAGAGATCATGCAGTATTGTTTTCTTGTCTGGCTTATTTCACTTTGCATAGTGTCCTCCAGGTTCATCCATGTTGTCACAATTGGCAGGATTTCCTCCTTTATGGTTTTTTTTTTGTGGCTGAACATGTCAAATTTTCAAATTTGTAAACTTTGCCCATGGATTTGGGCAACTGGGTACCTGTAGAAGCGGACCTCAAGGCAATATCACAAGATATAGCCGTCAAGTTATCGGGAGGTGGAGTGGAGATAGAGCAGGGAGATGCACAGCTATTCTCACTTGCAAGGCTTGGCTGTAGGGACACTTCCAACACTTGAATGATTTTATCTTCCTTCTTAAAAATCATGTGTGCTGTTTTTAAAACAAACAATATATGGCCTATCGCCCTGTCTTTTTTTCCCCAATTTTGTTTATTGTGATAAAATACAGATAACATAAAATGCACCGCCTTAGCCATTTTTAAGTGTACAATCCAGTGCATTAAGTCCATTCATGTTGTTGTGCAACCATCACCACCATCCATGTCCAGGGCTCTTTCCCTGCATCAATTATGATATACAAAATTTAAGTAAAGAAAAAAGCTGTGCACATACATTTTTCTTCCAGTCAATCACAGTTTGAGGAAATAAAGAAAATTGATTGTGCTCCTACTGTATGCAGGTATGATGCTAGAGGGTTGATATAAAAATTTATTTTAATCCTATATGAATATTACATTGATCAAGTTATTCAAGTTTTAGAGAAACAAGTACTGAGAAGGGCTAACGTTTTTTGAAGAGCCAGAGTAGCAGAAAGCCCAGTGGTTACGAACATGGGGTCTGGGGTGTGAAGCTTGAGTTTGAATCTTAGCCACCTGCTAACTTTGAAAACTTGAGCAAGTTACTTAATTTCCTTGAGCTACAGTGTTTCCCATCTGTAAAACTATGTTAAAAATAACATTACCTAGCGTTATTGAAAGCACACTAAAATACTTATGAAGTACTTATTAAAGGTTGGCTTTTAGTATTACACCCTAGGACATTATTTGGATGATCTCATTTAATCTACAATGAACCCAGGAGCTAAGTGTCATCAGCCCTATTATATATATAAGAAAGTTAAGATTCCTTAAAGTTAAGTAACCTCTGAAGTCCTCGCTCAAGGGTGACAGAGGCAGAATTCGAACTAGTTGGTTTGATGGCAAAGCCTATTCCCTGTTCCTCATCATGCTTGCCTGGCTCCAAGCCTGAGCCTCTTCCCACAGCATCGCTGCTGCTGCAGCTTCAAAGCCTGTTTACCCCACTGGGAAAAGTAGGAAGGATATCTGTTACCACCAGAGCTGCCACAACCCCTGGTAGCCAGGGAGCCTCTGCTGTGATGAATGGCACAATTACTTCCCTAGTGTAATGGGAAAAGATGTTTTAAATTTCATGCTACTATGTCATGCCCTGCTACTCACGATGAATGATGACATCTAAGCAGAAACCCTAGACAAGGAGCCATGAGATGGTCAGGAAAGTGATGTTCACCTTTAACACTGGCTCTCAAACTTGGGTCCCCAGGTCCTTTTACACTCTAACATGCTATTGAGGGAATCAAAGAGCTTTTGTTTAAGTGAGCTAGATCTATCAATAGTCACAGAATTCAAAATCAAAACTGAGAAAATTTTAAAACATATATATATTTAAAATGACAATAACAAATCTATTACATTTGACCATATATAAAATAATTTTAAAAAATACATTCCTAAGAATAATAATTAGTGGGAAAAATACAATCCCAAGAATAATAATTGTTCTATATTTTTGCAAATATCTTTAATGTCTGGTTTAATAGAAAGCAGTGAGATTCTCATTTCTGCTTCTTCATTCAATCTGTTGTTTTATGTCTCTTTGGTTGAAGTCTATGCAGAAAATCCTGCCTCATACATTTGTGTAGTTGAAAAAGTTATATAGTTGAATATTTTAATAATCTTTTCAGATAACTGTGGTTGTGTTTCTTTGATACTACACCAAAACTTGACAAATTGTAATTTCTTAAATTTTAGTTCCCATGTGATATGATCTGAAAGCATATCCATGAAATTTTTGTACCTTGTGACATAAATCCATTGGTACACTTTGAATGAATCTGATGATACCCATACATGATTTTTGTAACATTAGGCATTGGAAATTTGGAAAATAATGTTTCACTGAGTATGCATATCTTTAAAATATTAACACATTTTTATTCAATATAAAAAAGCCAAATTTATTAAAATCGCCAGTTATCTTATCAAGCTCATGGTATTGGATGTGTTTTCCAAAATTTTAATTTTTGCTTTAAAGTTCAAATTTCATCATGGGTAACAGTGTTATTTGGTTTCCTTGTGAAGTGATAGGCTTTCTGTTCATTTTTGAGACAACGTCTGCAAAATATCTAAGCCTGAATAACTAGTGTGGCAGTTACACTGTTGAATAAAAATGATGTTTCAGGAAAAAAAAATGGCTACTTTGACTTATAACCCAAATGATTGCTTTTTCTCAAGGTAGCCATCATACGTCAGTGCACTAACATTCTTTATGCATCCTTCCCATTTTGACACATAGAAGATTTAAATAACCCATATTCAAAGATTGAGCTTTAATGAAATTAATAATTTTCACTGTTTCTGAAAGGACTTTCTTAAGTAAAACTTAATTTCTGTCCTGTGAGTTTGGTGCCACTGTCTTGGTTTGTACCAAGGCCACAGTAGTTTTATCTGCCATTACTTTTGCACCATCAGTGCAAATATAAACACAGTGAAAAGGTCAAATGTTTTAGTTCACTGTGATGTTTTTTTGAACTCACAGACCCCCCCCTACACACACACACACACACACACACACACACACACACACACACACACACATACAAAGGTCTTAGGGGCTCCCTGGGGTCTATAGATCACACTTTGAGAAACTCTGATCTATAAAATGATGCTCATGTAAACACCACTCTTACTTTCCCTGTGAATAAAACTTCAGTGTTCAGCTCACAATATTCCTCTCTATTCCAGCTCCTTTCATTGCTCTGGAAGACCTCATCATCCTATAAATGAGCCATTCAACACCCTGTCCTCTCAGTTGCTCCTTTTCCTCATTTCTGACGACTTTTTCTTCACTCTACTATCTTCCATGGCCACATCCTGGAACTTCTCACTTTCTGAATCAGCTCCTCCTCCAAATCACTAATTCATGAGTCACCTGTGAATAGTTATTTGGGGCTCCACAGCCTCTTCTCATCTTTCTTATATGCTCAAGGAGTCCCACTGCACTTCCATTTGGGTCTTACTGGCCCATTCATTCTCTTGACCCCTAAACTTTCTATCAATAAGACTCCCTCCTATTTTCATTTCCCTTTATAAGTAGTTTTGATTCCATGATCCATAATTTAAAAATCTAAACTATATCCTAAATTTGTGGACCCCCCCATTCCCTTGATCACACCTACCTGTAAAACCCAATCCCGAATGAGTCCAACTATCTACCTCTTTACCTGGTTGACTCATAAGTATCTTTCAATTTCATTGTAAATTTCAGTTCCAGGGAAACATCGCTCAATACCCAGACTGCTTAGATTCCTCTCCTCACATGATTTGGTTAAGCTCTGCACATCTTCTACTCAACATTTAATTATCACACCTGTAATTGAATAATTTCTGTTTTCTCCAGCAAATTGTAAACTTTATGAAGGCAGGCATATTTCTTACTAAAGTCGTGGTGCTAGACCCAAGAAAGCTTCTCAGTAAATATTTAGGAAAGGAAAAAAGGAGGAAGCGAGGGAAGAAGGGAGGAAAGGAAGGAAGGAAGGAAGGAAGAAAGGAAGGAAGGAAGGAAGGAAGGGGGGAGGGAGGAAGGGAGGGAAGGAGGGAGTGAGGGTTAGAGGGAGAAAGGATAGGGAAAGAATGATACCAGTTTATGGAAATAGAGTGACGTTGTTTCAAGATGTATTTGAACCTAATTTTCAATTAATCTAAATAATCCTGGTCTCTAGATATTAAAATGACTCAAGGATTGGTCCGTATGTCATTTTGCCAATAGATTTTTCTAACAATAAAAGATTGAAGCATAGGAACATGAAGAAAGACAAGGGTTCTAATTATCAAAAGGTGGGAGAGAAGATAAGGACTAAGGTTTTGGAGCAAAAAAAAAATGATCCCAGCATTAGTTCTGCATCTCACTGTGGAATTGTCAAGATAATGTCATTGTAAGCCCACAGGGACTGCATTATTATGTCAAAATGGAAGGAAACAGTATTAATGGATGGAAGCAAAAGCCTACACAGAGCAGTGCTGTATTGTTGTAGCTTTAAAAGCTTTGTGACATGATGTCTAGACAGAAGCATCCATAGTAATGCTATCACTGAAACAAGAGTACAGAGGTACACAAGGACCATTCATTAACTCATTACAAGGCTCCAACCTTCTACCAATATCAATGTGACTAGCATTTTCTCTTCTCATCCCAGTGAATTTTTTAATGTAGTTTATTTTTTGCTGATTATAAAAGTAATACATTCTCATTAAAAAGAACATAGAAAACAGTATAAAAGGAAAAGATTGCCCCAAATCCTACCACCATTAATATTTTGTTATATTTCCTTTCACTTTTTATTTTAATAACATACGAGGTCATACTGAGTGTTGCATTTTATATCCTGAGTTTCCACTGGATATTGTAGCAGAAATGTAAACTATTTATGATGGCTATACATTGTTCCACTCTCCTAACATCAAACAATTAGATTATGGAGCACCCAGTTTTTCTGTGTCCTGAGTTATTTACTGAAGATATATCCTGTAGAATGAGATGGCTGACTTAAAGGATACAAGTGATTTTTAAAGCTTATGACACATATGGCCGAATAGCTTTCCAAAAGAATTGTATGATGTTTTTCAATTACTTAAGGAATCATCAATAAATTTGTGGCCTAGTAAATCTTGGCAAATAGTTTTAAACCATCTCCCAGCTACTGAAAATCTACTCAAGCAATGAGACATTTAATAAAGAACTGGGATTCGGTAGTCTTTGACTCTAGTCTTCAGTATGCCTTTCTGTGCTACTATACAAGTTTATTTAACTGCCTGGCTCTCAGTTTTTCTCCTCTGTAGATCACACAAATTAATATAGTTCTACTGCAGGGTTTCTCAAAGTGTACTCTGTGGGGCACTAGTTCCTGAGATATGCACCTGAGATGGAGGAAGGAAAGAAGAAAAGTTACATAGTCAACTACATTTGGATAAATTGCATACAAAATACTACTTTTGGATATTTTAAATACCCAACAACATATTAAAGGCTCTGAGAAGTTCCTCATTTTAATTAACTTAATCGAGCATTTGCCCAGTTTTTGGAACCCAGGTCATTTCTTTTTTCATGTGATATCTGTAAGACTATGTAATCCAGTTAAGAAACACTGATGTAATAGCAAAGGGTTTAGAGTCTGCCAAACATGCATTTCAATCTAGTTTTTGCTACTTACTGAATTTCAATTTTCTTATAGCTAAAAACCAGAGATAATAACTTGTGTTGAATATGGAGTGAGAACATGCATGGAAAGCCGTCAGCACAAGCCTAGCATACATGTTAGTTCCTTATCTCTAACCTTCTCAAACCCATACACGCTCATCAAATCACTCCATCTTCATAAAAAATGTATCGAATACCTACTCTTTATAGATCTGCGGACTAGTGTGATGCATCCCATCTGCCTTTTTAAAAGTAGGGTGGCCTATTGGACGAAGGGCATAAAACCTTGAGTTGAACATATATAACGTGTGAGTCAAATGCTTGGCCCCAGTATGTGGCCACCTCAGCGATTTCAATCACAAAATAATTAATTAGCTACCAATCTTAAACCAGAAGTTCAGAAACCCTAACCCAATTATTGCCAGGGGGTCACCTCATAAACTGGCTGAGCTTATAGTCAAAGCTGATAATCAATTATATAATCTTAAGCCAGTCCCATTGAGTTGCAAGGAAATTACATCATGAAACGGAAGTATTTGAAATTTGACTTTGAAGGTGCTGCGTCTCCAGTGACCTCCGTGTTGCGGAATCCAGTGGAAAGTAGCCTGGCTTGGTCTCGCTTGCCCTCCTTTAACCATTGCTTCCTTCTTGAAAGCTTTCCTCTCTTGGACTTCAGCACCACACTTTCTTGCTCCCTTCCTACCTCGGTGGCCAGTTCTCTTCGACCTCTCTGAACACTGGAATTCCTCAGGGTACAGCCAGGCCCGTCTTCTTTTCTCTTTCTGTGTTTTCTCACTCTTAAGAAAGGGAGGTCCATTTCCTGGGCTTGGCAGATCATCTATACTAGTCCTTGACTAAATTCAGATCTTCAACATAAACCACACCTCTGAAATCCTGTTTTGTTTATGCAACTGCCCATTTTAGATCTCCATTAGGAGCTTGCTTCTTAGGCATGGCAAACTTAATGGCTCCCAACACAAACTCTTGATCCCCTCCTTTGTACCAGCTCCTCTCTCAGTTTTACCCACATCCGTAAGTAGAACCGCCCAAACATGCAGCTGCTGAAGCCAGATACCTAGCAGTGGTCTTAAGTCCCGTCCTTCCGGAACCTCGCCCACCCAGATCCAATCCTTGGGAAATTTCTGTCAATTTTACCTTCAAAATGTATCTCAAATATCTTCTCTTCTGTCTCTCTCTATTGCCCCTGTCCTAATGTAAGGCACTATTATCTCTCACCCAGATAATTGCTATGACCTCCAATGGGCCAAGATCTTCCACTTCACCTTCCTCCAGTCCCTTCTCTGCACAGCCACCAGGATGACTTTTATAAATTACAAATCCGATAATATCTTTCCTTGAGTTCCATTTCCTGGGCTTTGCATACCATCTGTATTAATGCCTCCAAATTGAGACCTTCAACCTATTGTTTGAAGACCCTCCTGTGTTTCCTTTTTGTTTCTTTGTGTTTTTACGACACATAGACTAAAATCCAAATTCTTCATCATGGTACCCTCAGTCCTCTGTGGTCTGGCCCCTGCCCACCTTTTCCACATCCTCTCATGGCACGATGCCCTGCTATTATGCTCCTCCCATCCTTCAGGTCCACGAACAGGAAGAGCCATTTTCCACGGTAGGGTTTTCACACATGCTGATCTCTCCTCTGCACATCCTGTGGTTTCTTTTTACCTTCCTTCATATCTCAGCTTAAATCCCACACCCATAGAGAAACGCACCCCCAACCCCAGCCAGCCTATCTTCAGATTGCTCTGATATCCTCTATCAAAGGGACCTATTTGTTTCCTTCGTAATATTTATTACAATTTTTGCTAAAACATTTTGTTTATATATTTATTGACTGACTCTATCACTGCACCACAAATTCCATGAGGGGAGGGTCATTTGTTTAGCTCATCACTTAGTACCTAGCATATCTGGAACATTTCATAAAATCTTATAGGAAACCTAACACTGAAAACATATGATATTACTTCTACATTTTAATGGTAAGCTTTTATTTTTTATAAGCTCATGTTTACCATTTGCTTATTATAAAGTCTTAATAGAAAAATGGGGTTGTCTGAGAAAAAACATTTTAAAACAATGGTGATGATATAAGATTTATTTGGGGGAAAAAGGAGTGCCATTGTTAAAATTTTTTAAAAGTTTGAAATTACTGACCAATCTAGAAGATCCATGACAATTGGCACATTATAAATTTGTTCTAATTTTTGTCAACCATCAGAGAGAATGGAAATACCCCAAAATGACAATAACAATCACACAACACCATTGGCAACAGCTTTCACTGAATGCTTACTAAGGACCAGGCATTGTTCTAAGTATTTTACATGCATTTAATTCTGCCTCTTGTTTTCCTCCCATTTTATACCTCAGAAAATTTAAATAACTTGCCTGAGATAACACAAATAGGAAATGCTAGTGCCAGAATTTGAACCCAGTAAAGTTATTTCACCGTGTAGTTTCCCATTTTCAAAGCCAGGGTCAGACACGCCAGCAATAGACTCAAAGACCTCATGATTTCCGACTTCAGCACTTTCTAAAAGTATTTAATTAGCTCTCTTTTGCCTTGACTTCAAATTTGCCTCTTCACTGGTCTGTCTTATTTGATAAGTTCATCAAACATCAAGTCTCTTTGTTCATTTTCAAAAAGGATTACAATGATAAGCTTTTATAATTAAAAGTATCTCAGCAGAGATTTCCTTTACCACAGTTCTCTTGCCTTTATCTTCTAATTATTAGAGATGAATTTTCTGATTTTTTTCAAACTTGTATTTTCTTTAAATACAAGTTGCAAATTAACTACTTATGTAAACGACTTCCCCCCTGTTCTGAACTGTTAAAGAAAAGCTCATCTCTCTTGCTCTACCATTTAAAAACAACAATGATTCAAAATTGAATCATCAAACAAGAATTTGAATAAAATAATTCTAATTACAATTTTCAATGTTTGGGAGTAGGGACTGTGTTAAAGCTGTCCCAAAGATGAAATAAGGAGCTGCTTAAGTACCAGAAAACACTTAATGTTGAAATATAAAAAATCATGAGGCCAGGCTAGAAAATCAAGGGAATGGAATGGGCAAAATGCAATATACATATGAAAACACCACTGCCATTCATTACTCCACACCAAAAGGTGAACTCATTTCTGTGAAATGATCAGCATCTCTACAGCCTCCTGCCTTTCTCCTGATGGTTTTATATATCTTACCTAATTTTATCCTCCCCCAAACACTAAGAGATAGATACTCTTAGGATTCACAAACAGATAGAGGTTAGCTGTCCAACATTACTCAAGAGAACTATTATTTATTAAGCTGAATATATGTTATATCCAGGATCATATTTCATGTTCATTAACTCTTACAGAAGAGGTATTATTATTCTCATTTTACAGATAGGGAAACGGAAGCTCAAAGAAATTGATTTCCTCCTGTTTGCCCAGCTCCGGAGTATTGGAGCTGTGATCTGCACACAGGCCCATAAGACTCCAAACGCATGCTCTTTTTACTGCCTGCTAGTCTTTCACTGATTTAGGAATAGCATGAAAAGCATTCACATTCCAACCTAAACAGCCTGTTGCAAACATGAAAGCATCTTAGTTCCCCCCAGATGATGTCTATGTGCGAATTTTGCAGACATATGGCTGACTCACCAGTTCACCTTCTCCTGTACGGTTCCCCCAGGCTGACAAGTCATCGAGAACAAGATGAAGAAAGCCACAGCAAACATCTCATCAAGAAGCCACCACCTTATATTACATAGAAATAATCAAATGATCTATTCAGGGAGTTGGGGTCAAAGATGTCTTCAGCCAGGGCACTTAAGATCCAATGTTTGAAACTAACAGAACTCACTCAATTCTCAGATGTGGTTAATTGGTTACTAGGTTATTGATTAGCCAAACATCCTAAAACCCCAGACACCAAAGGCCACTGTCCTTCAGACCTTTGGAAAAACACTATCCATATGATTGAGGAAAGGAAGATAGTTCTTTAACAAATACCAGCTTAGCAAAGGGATCTTATATTCAGAATGAGACATAAACCAAAGCAAGATACAGTTTTAGAATTCATGGCCTTTTTGAGGGACTCTTGGAACTTCTGAGGTCAGATCAATTTGTTTTGCAAGACTGAAACGAGGCTAATACTGGTATATCAGTTCAGCTACCAACAGCTAGCAAAATATAGGAAATGCTGTTTCATGGAGGTCCTACAATATACTACCAAACATCTGGGGCCTAAGAAATGTGGGTAATTGAATGGAATTTCCACTTTTCATCCAGATGTTGGGTATCATTAAGATCCAGCATATTTGTGGCTTGAGGGGACCAGATGCTTTAATGAATATCTCCAGAAGCATTCTCTAGGATTACAGTAACAGCTACATATCTGGACTGATGATACCATGCCCGTATACAATCTTTCACTCTTTCAGTCATGATGGGCATTGAGTAATGTTTTTACTGAAGATGTGGATGTCTTGAGGGCTGTTCTATCTGTACACCCTTGAGGCAATTCAGGGTGGCACATCTGAAACCCACTTTTTCCCCACCAACTCCCTAGCAAAGAAGCCTGCAAGGAAACCTTCAGTGGCTCCCCCAATGTCTGTAAAATTAGAAGGTCAAATTCCTCCATCAATGGGCCCAACTCATCCATGCAAACTTCTCATGCACAGCCCTCTAATTATCCCTCACATTCTAGTCTAGCCTCCTCTTATCTTCCCTACACTTTCTTGCTGCTGCGACTTTGCTCATGCTGGACCCTCCACCTGAACTTCCTTTATCCATCATCTTCTACCCTTCTGCCAAATGTCTTCTCAAATAGCAGATCCATCATGAATCCTTGGTTTATGGCTCCATCTGGAAAGTATGACCTTGTTATCTTTGAACCTTATAAAGACATTACCAGCACTTTTCATTTTTGCCTCATATTATTATTTTTTGTTAAGGAAGTGGGGTATGTCTTGAAAATGAAAGCTTCTTTAGGGTAAATTCTGTGTCTGATTCTTCTTTATAAACACCTGTATCACTTAACACTGAATCTTTAATAAGAAATATTTGTTGATTGAGTGAATTAGCAAATGAATCAATTAAAAATGGTTTACTATCTCATAATAACTTCAGGTATATTTTCTCATTTAACCCTCAAAATAATCTTGTGAGATAAATATTATTATCATGAAGAGAATTCTGAGAGGCAGTGATGACGGTGGAAAATGGAAGCAAGATATATAGAGTACCAGGCCCTATGCCTGCCACATGACATGATTTAAAAAAAAAAATTTCTAATCTAATCTTCAGAGTGACCTTGCAAGGCCAGTGATAATGCTACTGTTTTGAAAATGCGGATATTGAGTTTCAGAGTGGTTAAGTAATTTGCCTGCAATCACATAATTGGTGAGTCCCAGACTCATGGATTTACAATCTGTCCAACTTCAAAACCTGAGATCTTTTTCAACCTGGTCATATAACCACTAAGTGGTATATCAGGACTAAGTCCTGGTCTTTTATCTCCAAGTCCAGTTTTTATGCCCATTCATTATGCCTTAGCTCAGAGAATAAATGTCATTTCCAGGGGATGAGGAAAACAAAATAAAGTGAGAGAAAAGATAATCACAGGTAGGATCAAAAGCGAGGAAGCTAAGTCAAATGGGATAATTTTATGCCTCTATGACTAAGTGTATGTGTGTGTGTTGGGATGGGGGAGGGGCACTCATCTACCTTGAGCCAGAACGTTCTAAAATGAATGGGAAATGCCAAAACATTTTTAAGTTTGCATATGTGGATTTCACCTTAATTGTGGCATTCTGTTATCAAAGATAGATAGTTATGAAACACCAGGCAGAATAGACAGCGAGACAGCAATTCATTTTGAAAACACATCGCCTGTCTCATGAAAACACTTTCCACTATCTAAGTCAGCCCGTGAGTAATGGCCTCAAAGTGGGACATCCTCTGTTATACCAGACTGCCACCGCAGGGTGACATCCAGGTGTGTGCTCTTTGAAAAGCTTTAGAAACTCCACACCACATTCCCTATGCTGGGCCTGCAGCTTGCCCAATGCAGATAGGAGATCAAAATTCTGCAAATCTCATGCAAACAGAGGCAATTGTCTAGAATGGAAAGAACACAGTTGTAGGTCAGAAAGCACCACAAACCAGGCATTGTCTCCTAGCCTCAGTGTCTTCATCTGTAAAACAGATAAAATAATTCCTGCCAGGCTAGGATGGAAGAGCTGAAGACTAAATGAGGAAATCTCTCCTCAACTGGGAATTTTGAACAGTTGTTGCTTGTTTATTTCCATAGTGCTTATCCTTCTCTCTACTCTTCTTTTCCAGTATCTACTCATCTGGTCTGTCATAAGCATGGGAAGGGAAACTGGAGTCCATGTCCAGGTGCCCTCCTGAGCTGATTTTGAGGCCTTCTGGAGGGAGGATGCAACTGCAGCAGCTGAGAAAATGATGTCAGCTGTAGGGTCCCAATGGTAAATGGGTGGAAGGGCCCACTTCCCCATCACTGCTCAGGTTCCAGTATCATTCCAGCATGTCAAGGGGTTGAAAATTTGGGGAGCAACTCAATGTAGCACTTTCAGCTTGGACACGACCAGGCTCACGATGGCCAGAAGCAAACGGAGCTCTTCAAGCAGCTCACTGGTTGGCAGTCCACGCAGATGGCAGAGAGTTTTGTGAGTTTGTTTGAAATATTTCTCCAGGGCAAGTGTGTGTGTGTGTGTGTGTGTGTGTGTGTGTGTGTGTGTGTGTNGCGTGTGTGTGTGTGTGTGTGTGTGTGTGTGTGTGTGTGTGTGTGTGTTAGGGCTGTTCCCTCACCAGAAAAACCTGTAAAATATTCAACACAACACCGCGCACCAAGTCTGCAGACAGTAGATGAGCATCCCTGTCCACTGCCCGGCCTTCTCCACCCTCCTTTCACACTGCTTTGTAAGACTGCACGTCTACGACATCTGTTTTTCCTCCTGATTACTTTCATCAGCCTGGGGCTGCGGCCAACAGACATTAGTGGTAGGTTTTCGGCTAGAAATGAAGTGGGGCTGGTTTAAGTAATTGGTCTCAATCAGAGGCTTTACAAGGATGGGCTAATGCCTGCCTGCTGCTCCCCCACTTCATGTGGAAGCTCTGCATTTGCACTGAAGTGGTGGGATGAGAGGGGGTCAGTGTCTGGCTCATTAGCGCAGAAATTAAAGACCTTTCCTCAAAGAAGGCATCGAGCATTGTAAGCAGCTCAGGCCCAACCTGGGTGGTCCTGTGGGAAATTCCCAGTGGAATGTGGCTGCAACCATAACCAGAGTCCATTTGACACCTGAGCAAGTTCTCCAGGCTTCATCCATTGATCAATTCTCTTCTGTGACGCCTTTACACACAGCATGGCGCAGGGCACCTCCTCTTCTGTTTCCATAGCACCCTGTCCACATCTTCCTCTCTAAAAGACCACTGACTTGATGGTTTGTGATCCCTGTGAACTCTCGGGAGGCAGAGCTCTGCTGGCCCCGAGTCTGTGCACCAGATACGTGAGAGTCAGCCCGTGGAACTAGCTCACAGCCCGGCCGACCTCATGTCTCCACAAGCAGGCAATAAGGGACTGCAGTGTGTGCAGAAGATACGAAAACCCATTAGAAGTCGATTGGCTTTGTATGATCACCATGTGTAGGCAATTCTAAACAGTGTCAGTGGGAATCTCCTCTCACAGCTGTCTCTTCTCCATTCCCTGCCAGCATCACACTGAAAGCTCTGGTCACTTCCTATTCCCCCACTCCATTGGGAGCTTCTTAAGGGCAGGGGCCATGTTTTAAATCACCTTTGTGTCCCCAGTACTGGAACACACAGCAGGTGCTCCTTACTTAAGTAGCAGAGTGGGAAGACTATACCTTTTAAGTCTAACCTGGGTTGAAATCCCAACACCACCATTAACCAACTGTGCAATTTCAGACAAGTTATTTCGCCACTCTGCTTTAACTGCCCCTCCTGTATAATGGATTTGATGGTAATTCATATATATACTAATATACAGATAGAGAGAGAAACAGAAAGAGAGAGAGAGAGAGAGCCAAAAAAAGTATATGCATTTTAAGAAAGGAAAAAACTGCATTAAAATTGTAATGATATATACTGATAACAAAAGATGAATACAAGTCACGTTTGACTTTTACAATTACAAGAGGTGCTCAAAGTGGTTACCATCAGTGTAATTTTATACAGCTTTTTCGTTTCTTAAAATGTGTATACAATAATACCTTGGTTTGCGAGCATAATTCGTTCTGGAAACAAACTACTCGCATTGCGAGACATCGCTCGTTTACCACGTTAAAATGTATTAGAAATGTTTTCTCATCTTGCGGAACACTTGGAAACCTCGTTACTCGCAATCCAAGGTTTTACTGTACATTCATTCTTTTGGCACCCTCTATATTTCACACACACATATACACATACATGCCTAATGATTAACAAATGTTTGTTGAATTTACCTGAATTAACAGTCACTTTCAGGCAAAAATAATGATGGATGCTGTTTCTCTTTGTAACCCTCTCACTCCCTGCCTTCTCTGCCATCGCCCTGTGTCCCAGAAACACCCTCTGGGACCATGTAGGTGGGGGCTTGTTCTCAGCTGGTGCTTACGGCCCATCTGAGGAGTCAATAAAGCAGCGAGGGTCACTGAGAAAATGATACTGTAGACTTTTGCATGTGCCATTTTTCTATGTGTTTTAGGCATCTTTATCTTATCAGGCCACAGGTATTTACTGCTTAAATGAGGCTTCTGAAAAATAGTGTGGCCTTTAAGCCTCAAACCAACAGAGACCCAACAGATTGATCAGTCCAAACATAAGCTCTGGGAGGATGACCAAT